ATCAATAGTTCTCAACCCATGTAACAATAATCATTTAAGGAGTTTTTAAAAATACTGATGCTTGGATTTCCCTTCTAGAAATTGCTTTAAAAGGCTTGAAGTGTGGCATAGGCACCGATAATTTTTAAAGTTCCCCAAGATGAAAGAGGGATGCTAGGAATACAAAGCTAAAGGAAATGATGTGGAATGAGAGAAGAGTTCAAATTCCTCAGAGTTCCTACCATTTACCTATAGTTCCCTGCAAATCCCTACCAGTTACAGTATGGATTTGAGCAAATTCGAATTATTTAAATTCTTTCTGCCTTGGATTATAGCAACTGAATAAAATAATATACTGTTTCTTTTCTTTTTTTTTCTTTTTAGAGAGAGAGCAAGAGAGCATGCACACATGTGTGGGGAGGGGCAGAGGAAGAGGGAGAGAATCTTAAGCAGGCTTCACTCTCAGTGGGAGGCTTGACTCGGGGCCAATCTCATGACTCTGAGATCACAACATGGGCTGAAACCAAGAGTCAGGCACTTAACTGATTAGGTCACCCAGGTGCCCCCCCAAAAAATTCCTTTTAAAGGAATCTAACACATCTGGCATTTAGTAGTTGCTCAGTGAACAGGTAAAATCCTATCTTCTGATAGAAAAACTGCCTATAGAGAAATAAACTTCAACTTCAGCTTAGACTTATTTTTTCTGGTTTGCTGGTTGCACTTGAATTCCTACTGGAAAACTAAAAGTAGAATTCTTAATTCTACTGACTCATCAGTCACTCGCAAATCCACCTATGCATATACTAATTTGAGTATAACAACCACACATGGCATGTCAAACATGTTATAATGGATTCTAAGAATCTATGGGTGAATTTTTTATGTCTGGACCTAGGATGTCATCACAGTAATAGTATCTAACATTTACTGTGCCACAACAGTGAATCACTCTGCCAAGTAATTTATAGGCATGATTCCATTTAATCCTCACAAAACTTCAAGTTATTTTTATCCTTATTTCACAGATAACAGATTTAGAGATATGAAGTAACTTATGCAAGGTTATACAACTACTAAGTGGCAGTGACAGAATTCAAATCCAGTTCCATCACTCTTCAAAGTCTCTGCTCTTTACCCCCATGGTATATTAATTCTCAGATCCTGTTTTTCTCTCTCACTCTTTCATTTATGCTTCTGAGAAGTAATAAGGCTTTAGAATATATTATCAGAAATTTCCTTTTCAGAGAGTCTTTGCCAAGGCCACAGAAACTTTCCAAGTTGGTCGGGCACCAGAAAAAATTACCAGTTAAAGAAAAATTAGTTTGTATAATAGAAATTATTCCTATGAGAACACCCTCCATTTCTAATTCCCTTCATTTAAAAAAAGTTCTAGGGACTACCCAAGGTATACCAACATATGATTAATTACCATCTGGTTAAAGAACCAATAATCTATACCTCCAAAGGTTGCTCCTATTCCCAGAGACATTTTTCTGGGATATTCCTTTGAAAACGTAATTGGTTATATACTCTACAATTGTGTCCAGGTAATTTTGCAATCAATGTTAGACGGGAAATAGATAGTAAGGATCTCACATTAATCTTTATATTCTAGTTGGAAAGAATACTCCGTATTTTAGGGATGTAGTTCTAGTTCTTTTTAAAAATGGTTTGCTTTTTATAGTTTTATGCTTACCTATTTTATAGTCATTACAGCTTATATAGGCTATTTAGTTATAGTTTTTTAAATAAATTACTGATTTTTTTCTCCATGGAGTCATAATAGAATAATTTTAAAGTAATGAAAAGAATTCTCAAAAGCAAGGTTAATTTATCCTTCATAATTTTTTTTTAAGAGAAAGAAAGAGAGGGTGGGAGTATGCAGGTGTGGGGGGTAGAAGGAGAGAGAGAATCTTAAGCAGGCTCCACACCCAGTGAGCAGAAGGACTTGGAACTCCATCTCACGATGGTGAGATCATGACCTCAGCCAAAATCAAGAGTTGGACGTTTAACTGAATGGGCCACCCCAAGGTTAAGTTATACTTTAAAAGTGAGGGTTTATTCACCAAGAACCTATTATATGTATTAGGCTGGAACTGAGGTAGGGTGATAGGAGATGCAGGGGTAATTATAAAACTAGTGATACAATGCCTCTGCTCTCAAGAAGCTCATGTTAAATATGTGAATATCTAACATAAGGTGGAGTTAAATGCCCTAAGAGGTATAGCTAAAGTGCTGTGAATGTTCAAAGGAGGAATATAAAGATTACTTAAAAAAAAAAAAAAAGATCACTTATAGCTTGAGAAATAATTTTTTTTTAAATTTTTATTTATTTATGATAGGCACACAGTGAGAGAGAGAGAGAGAGAGGCAGAGACACAGGCAGAGGGAGAAGCAGGCTCCATGCACCAGGAGCCCGACGTGGGATTCGATCCTGGGTCTCCAGGATCGCGCCCTGGGCCAAAGGTAGGCGCTAAACCGCTGCGCCACCCAGGGATCCCATAGCTTGAGAAATAAAAAGAGGCTTCAAAGAAAAAAATAACAGTTAAGTTAGGCATTGAAGGACAGACAGAATTTGGACTGAGAGAAACAGGAAAGGGTAAGGAAGACCTGTCAGGCAGGGAGAAGGGCACAAATAAGAACCCAGTATGGTGCCTGTCATAGGTAACACCCATAAAAAGCAAACAAAAATAGCTAATTCCAACAAGGTGGAAATAAGTACAATAGTTTTGAAAAAAAGAAGCTAATACAATTAAAGCAGATCATGGAGAAAGAATGATATCAGATATAATAGAGTGGGGGAATATATGTTCTTTTTTCTGTTATTTGCATGTTAGAGTCCCAAGAGTCTGAAAGAGTTCGGATGATTCAGATTAAAGTATCTTAGAAAAGTCAATGTGGTGAAAGCTCCAAGATGGACTTGCTTCTGGGGAAAAATGTTGCTGAAATAACCTGGTTAGAAGAAGATGGGAGTCTAACTGGCAATAGAATTAAAAAGGAAAATATAGAAAGACCTTTCAAAAAGGCAATCAACAAATTTCAGGAATGTTCAAGACATGGAAGATGACTGATAGAATCCAAGTCAATTCTAAACTTTTGAACAGAGAGATGAATTATTAAGTCCAACAAATTGTAAAAAACCAAAAAAACCAAAACTACTCTGAGAAGTATAAGTACACAGAATTTTTGATGTCAGAATAAAGTTTATTTCAAACCCAACACAATAAATGTTTAATTTCTTGCCACCTCTTACTACGAGAGGGAAGAGTTTGGCAGACAAAGAACAAAGTGGTGCAATGGGAGATACAGAGAAAATAGAGCTTCTACTTAAACCATGTGAATCAAGTGTGTTTATAGAATCTTTGCTACTGTCACACACTCCATTCAGAATCTGATGAACGCTATAAACCCTCACTCTAGAAACAAGTGCATGCGCATATTTTGCACATAATTGCACTGGCTTCAAGAAGCTCATGTATGACTCCTAAATAAGAACCCTTGGCCTATACCTTGACCATAACTACTTATTTCCAGCAGAAAGGCAAAAAATACGAAAAGGAAGAAAATTATGAGGAGATTCTACTTCCTTAAAACTTCCTAAACCTAAATTAGTTTTCCATTTGCTACACACCAAAAGTTCCTTTTCATGACCCAGTTCTGCCTTTATTAATTGTGTGACCTTGGGCAAGTCACTTAACTTCTCTATGCCTGAGTTTCTTCATGTCAGAAGGGGTCATAATGCCAATTTAATAGGGGATGTAATGAGGATTAAAGTAGCCTTCTCTCTTGGTTACTCTCAAATTAACCTGTTCTATTTTTATCACAGAATTAATCATTTCCTAAAATTAGTTTACTCTTCTATTTGTTATTATCTTAATCATTCCACCTAATTTGCTACTGATGTGAGATCCACAAGAGCAAAAATGTTCTTCATTTGTTCACTGATACACTCTCAGGGCCCAACATATTTTTAAAAAAAAATTTTTTTTAATTTATGATAGTCACACACACACAGAGAGAGAGAGAGAGAGAGAGAGAGAGAGAGGCAGAGACACAGGCAGAGGGAGAAGCAGGCTCCATGCACCGGGAGCCCGACGTGGGATTCGATCCTGGGTGTCCAGGATCACGCCCTGGGCAGGCGCCAAACACTGCGCCACGGGATTCCAGGGCCCAACATATTAATGATTAACTGTTGACAGTAAGAAATTAGCTAATGGGCATAAAGCACTTAGCTTGGTGTCTCGGTAAGTTTATCATCATCATCATCATCATCATCATCATCATCAGGCTGAAGCTAATAAATAGAATCTTCCTTACTGAATCCTGAGGTTTCCAGTAAAAGGAAATGGAACACTACAAAACTACACTAATCAAGACTGTGGTATAAGCATGAGAGTAGACATATAGATAGGTCAAATAGAACTGAAGGTCCAGAAATAAACTAACATTTATAGTCCATAGATTTGCAACAAAAGGGCCAAGACAATTCACTGGGGAAAGAATAGTCTTTCCAACCAATGCTATTAGGACAACTGAGTATTCATATGTAATATGAATCTGGACCCCCCCCCCCACACACTACATAATTAAATCATAGTGGATCATAAACCTAAATGTAAGAGCTAAAACTATTAAACTTTGAGAAGAAAATACAGGAGTAAATCTTTACGATCTTTGATTAGGCAACAATTTCTTTTTCTTTTTTTTAAGATTTTATTTTATTCATGAGAGACAGAGAGAGAGAGAGAGAGAGAGAGAGAGAGAGAGAAAGGCAGAGACATAGTCAGAGGGAGAAGCAGGCTCCAAGCAGGAAGCCTGATGTGGGACTCAATCCCGGGACTCCAGGATCACGCCCTGAGCCAAAGGCAGATGCTCAACCGCAGAGCTACCCAGGTGTCCATAGGCAACAATTTCTTAGCTACACCACCAAAAGTAGAGCTAAAGAGAAAACTCAGGAGTTGGACTTTGTCAAAACTAAAACTTTTCATTAAAACTATATACAGTTTTGGTGCAGGTTGAAAATGGCAGTGGTGGCTCAGTTTTGGGTTTCTGGGCTGCTTGGTCAGTCCCAGGAATAGCTGGGGTGGTCCATGTAGAGTGAAGAGAGCTCAAATCAAATCTGGGAGGCCCTCATCTATTATGTAACACTCCCCAGCGTGGGAATGAGCATACTGGATGTCTTCCTAAAGCTACATCATGGAGAGTATCAGAGACCCAAGTTCTGGGGTAGGATGGCCTACCCTCATCTCCACATCAGGTCCAAGCCCTTTTCCTGGGGAGATGGTAATCATACTCTATTCCATAATTCTCACATGAATCCATTTCTGACCAGCTATGAAAATGAACAAAGAGAATTGGGACCACAACCCAGTGGGGACCACGTTACTGGTTTGGACCCATGACTCTGCACACAGACCAGAAAAGTATATGGCACCTTAAGCTCACCTTCCTTACTTGTATCAAATGATGACCAGCTGACCAGTATACTGATCTTCTATCCCTTTTCTTATAGCATGAGATAGCTAATAAATAATTTAGATTAGTCCAAGGGGGGAAAATCCCTATATACACTTTTTACATTACAGCTGTATATAGGTTGTCTTAGTTTAAACTTCTATTTAAATTAATCATTTCTAGTGACTGGAAGATTTGTGATCATTAGCAAATCAATCTCTGCTTCAATTTCTTCAACTGTAAGCTTTGAAAAAATGATTACAAATAGGCACATAAAATGAACTTCAGAAATGTTATAGTAGAAATACTGTTCACAGCTGAGCCACATAGTATATTGATTACATTTTCTTCTGTGTCCTCTTACTTTTTTCCAGAATGACTGTCTTTTACTTTGTTTACATAGCTTTTTATTAAACTATAACTGTTTTATAAGAACTTTTTATAGGCATAAGATATAGCAGACATTTCACAAAAAAGCAAGCACAAATAGCTCATAAATGAAAAGGTTCCCAATTTCATTCAGAGTCAGAGACAAAATTTTGTTTTATTTTTTATTTATGTTTTAGAGACATAATATTTTAAGTCACAGTAATATATAATTTCACACCCATTATGTTGACAAAATATGAAGCCAGACATTACTAGGTATTGATAAGGATCTAAATTGGATGAACTGTCATCCACTGTGTGTGTTCTTTAGTAGTTTCATTTTACATCAACACATCTGCAGAAAGGCACTAAGATACACATAAAAAGATGTTCACAGAACCATCTGCATAAAACCAAAGAATAACAAGCAAACTAAAATCCAACACCACTAGAATATATATATTGAGATATCTTTAGATAACTGAACATGCCACAACAGAAGAAATGTATATGCTAAAATTATATGCAGTAACATGCGTGAATTTCAAAAATACATTTGAAGCATAGAAGAGTAAGTGCAGTATGATTCTATTAACAACAAAGTTCCAAAACAGGCAAAACTAAATAATATCTTTTCTATGGATACTTGCATAGGTGCTCAAACTATACAGAAAGGCAACAGAATGAGTACAGGAAGAGTCCAAGATGGTGGAGAAGTAGGAGACCTTAGTTTCATCTGGTCCCAGAAACGCAGCTAGATAGCTATCAAATCAATCTGAACACCTGCAAACTCAACCAGAGATCTAAGAAAAGAACAGCTGCAACTTTACAAATAGAAAAGCGACTACTTTCTGCAAGGTAGGAGGTGCAGAGAAGTGAATGCAAGGTGATATATGGGAAGACAGACCACAGGGGTCAGGAGCCTCTGGCAGCCAGTACCAGAAAGTGATACAGCAGTGGAGCACAACACTGGAACCTTTAGAAGTTTGCTCCAGTGAGGGATGTCCCTGCCTGAAAGGTGCTCAGGCAGTGAAGTAGGGGCAGAATCCTAGGTGGGACAGTGTGGTCTCAGGATCCTTGGGGTCACAGAAAGAACAGGGGTGCCTGAGTGCAGCAGAGTTCCCCAAGCATCAGAGCGGGGAAACTGGTTGCAATCAGCGAACCCAGGAGTAGGCTCTCAGTTAGGGGTTACCATAAACCACAAACCACTGCGGGGATGGGCAACCACTCTCTGAGCAGGGGCCCCAACAAGCAGCAGAACCACCACAAGGCCCCCCACCCTGGTATGGGTGCCAGCCTCAGCAGTCTGCAAGGTTTGGAGACTAGAAGTGGGTCCTGTGCCTGAAATACAAATGCTTAATCACAGGCTGGGTGGGTAGAGTGCAGAGGGAGACCAGGGACACAGAAGTGATTGACTGCTTTTCCGTGAGGGCACACTGAGGAACCATGAGCTTCCAGCTCTGGGCTGGAGATTGGAGGGCCACCATTTTCATTCTCAGCCTATATATATATATATTTTTCCCCCCCAAGATTGTATTTATTCGTGAGAGGCAGAGACACAGGCAGAGGGAGAAGCAGGCTCCATGCAGGGAGCCCAATGTGGGACTCATCCAGGGTCTCCAGGATTACACCCTGGGCCAAAGGAGGTGCTCAACCACAGGAGGCGTCCCATCATTCTCAGCCTCTAAAGCTGCAAGAAAGACTTCAGGGAACAAAAGCCACATAGAGCAGTCCTGAGCAAATTACTTTACCTGGCCCCCTGGTAAGGGCAGTGCAATTCTGCCTGGGGCAAAGACACCTGAGAATCAGTCCAACAGGCCCCACCCCCAGAAGATTAGAAAGAAAATAGGCTAAAACCAAGTATATGGATCATAAAGAATTGCAAAATGCCAGCGTCAGGGGAAAATAGTATATAGAATTCACGGGTTATTTCCCACAATTCTTTAGTCTTTCAATTTTAATTTTTTCTTTTTCCTTTTTCAAAGAATTTATGAATTCATTTTTACAGTTACATTCTACCCTTTCACTGTATTTAATTTTATTTTTGGATATAACAAGTTTTCTTTTTTTCTTTTTCTTTTTTTTTTCTTTTTTTTTCAAGTTTTTCTTTCTCCACAATCTTGGGATACGTTTCTTCTAACAAACAGACAAAAATACACCCAGAATCTAGTGTATGGTTCTGTTCTCTTCACCTGTCTGATCATATTCTTTATCTCTATCTCTCTTCTCTTTGTTGTTGTGAAAGTATTTTTAAAATTTCCTCTTTACAGGGATGCCTAGTTGGCTCATTGGTTGAGCATCTGCATTTGGCTCAAGTAGTGACCCTGAGGTTCTGGGATCAAGTCCCGAATCAGGATCCCTGCAGGGAGCCTACTTCTCCCTCTATGTCTCTGTCTGTGTGTCTCTTATGAATAAATAAAATCTTTAAAAATTTTTTTTTCATCTTTACAGTTGCATTCTATCTTTTCAATGTATTTAATTTTATTTTGTGTACATATATTTTTCTTTCTTTACAATTCTGAAATGTAGTTTCAGTTCATTCAAAAATACACTCAGGATATAGTATATCACTCTGTTCCGCTCACTTGTCTGTTTATGTATTTTTTTGGTCTCTCTCTTTTTTTTTTTTTTTGGTCTCTTAATTTTCATTTTTACATTTACATTCTGTCCATTCATTGTATTTAATTTTATTTTTGTACATACATAAGTTTTTCATCTTTAAAATTTGGGGATCTAGTTTTCTAACAAACAGACCAAAATGCATACAGGATCCAGTGTATTGCTCTGTCCTATCCACCTGTCTGATTATATTCTCTCTTTTTTTTTAAGTTTTATTTATTTTCAGTTTTGGGTCTCTTCTGATTTGTTTAGTATATATTTCTCCAGGATCACTGTTGCCATTTTAGTATTTTGCTCTCTCATTCATCTATTCTTTTCTGGATAGAATGACAAGACAGAAAAACTCACCTCAAAAAAGAGAACAATGGGCAGCCCCGGTGGCTCAGCGGTTTAGCACCACCTTCAGTCCAGGGCATGATGCTAGAGACCCGGGATCGAGTCCCACGTCGGGCTCCCTGCATGGGGCCTGCTTCTCCCTCTGCCTATCTCTCTCTGCGTGTCTCTCATGAATAAATAAATTTAAAAAAAAGAAAACAAAAAAACAAGAAGTAGTACTGACACCCAGGGACCTAATCGATATGGACCTAAGTAAGATGTTGGAACTAGAGTTCAGAATAAGGATTATAAAGATACTAGGTAGGCCTGAAAAAAGCATAGAAGACATTAGAGGATTCTTTTCTGGAAAAATAAAAGAACTAACTAAAATTTCATCAAGTCAAAATAAAAAAGGCTATTAATGAGATGCAATAAAAAACGGAGGCTCTAACTGCTAGGATAAATGAGGCAGAAGAGAGAATTAGTGATCTAGAAGACAAAATTATGGATAATAAAGAAGCCAAAAAAAGAGATAAACAACCACTGGATCACAAGGGGAGAATCTGAGAGATAAGTGATACCATAAAGCTAAACAATATTAGAATAATTGGGATCCCATAAGAAGAGGAAAGAGAGGTGGGTGGGGAGCAGAAGGTATATTGGAGCAAATTATAGTGAAGAACTTCCCTAATATGGTGAAGGAAACAGGCATTCAACTCTAGGAGGCACACATAATACTAAAACATGAAAATCTCAGAGACAATGAGAAAAATCCTAAAAGCAGCTCAGAACAAGAGGTCTGTAACCTACAAGGGTAGAAACATTTGACTGGCAGGAGACCTACCCACAGAGACCTGGCAGGCCAGAAAAGCCTGGCATCATATATTTAAGGTGTTAAATGAGAAAAAATATGCAGCCAAGAATACTTTATCCAGCCAGGTTGTCCTTCAAAATAGACGGAAAGATAAAAAGTTTCCAGGACAAACAGAAACTAAAAAAATTTGTGATCACTAAACCAGCCCTACAAAAATAATTAATAATTTAATGTCTCTCCAACAAGAAAATATAACAATTGTAAATATTTATGCCCCCAACATGGAAGCAGCCAATTATATAAACTAATTAATAACAAAATTAAAGAAACACATTGATAATAATACAATAGTAGGGGGCTTTAACACCCCACTCACTGCAATGGACAGATCATCTTAGCAGAAGATTAACAAGGAAACAAAGGCTTTGAATGACACACTGGACCAGATGAATTTCACAGATATATTCAGAACATTCCATCCTGAAGCAAAAAAAAATACATTCTTCTTGAGTATACATGGAACATTCTCCAGGATAGATCACATACTGGGTCACAAATCAGGTCTCAACCTGTACCAAACACTAGGATCATTCTCTGCATATTTTTAGACCACAATGCTTTGAACTGGAACTCAGTCACAAGAGGAAATTTGGAAAGAACTCGAATATATGGAGGTTAAAGAGCATCCTACTAAAGAATGAACAGGTCAACCATGAAATTAAAGAAGAATTAAAAAATAATAATGGGGGCAACCTGGGTGGCTCAGCGGTTTAGTGCCACCTTCAGCCCGGGACGTGATCCTGGAGACCTGGGATCGAGTCCCACATCAGA